CCTTTCTGTTACAAGTTTTAAGCTAACTTTTTATTACAGATCTTAAAAAAATACACCAACCAAACTTAAAAATCTTGAGATACGGGAAATTTGCACAATGGTCTTATAAATCTTGAGATGAAGTTTGTACTTCAGCGAAAGTCTCAGAGATAGAAGAGAAGGGAGTGTTCAGAAAGTTCAGTAAAACCAAGAACGGGGTGAGGTGAGCAGCGGTAACCCTTAGTGGGCGTAGTTTACTCTAGTGTTCTAAAGCACATGGCGTCTTTCCCTTTTCGGGACTGTTTCTCTTTGCTTTCCTTCTCTGTCATAGAGTCAGGTGGGCAGCCGGATCCCAGAAACAGAGACTTTGGAGGAAGCTTTTAAAAGAGCGTTCTTGGGGCTGGAGAGACGCTGTAACTCAACTCGAGAGCCCCTCTTTTAGTAGAACAGTGTACAAAACCATTTTTAGTATTATCTATACACCAAAGAGATTTGAATCTTTAAGAATGAATCCCATGGTCAGAGGGAGGGGGCCAGAGCAGCTTAGAGCAAAGAAGCCCAGAGGATAAGATTTTTGGGACAAGCAGAGAAAGCTTAGAGAAAAGGGGACTTTTGGATCACTTGTTTGTGTGGTGGCAGAAGTTGTCACAAGCTGAGTATTTGGCCAATTTCTGGCCATGGAGAATGATTGTCTAGTCTGTACGGAGACCAAACTATTTGTAGTAGGACAGTAGGGCTTTAATGGGGTCCCCGAGCCTAAGGAGGAAAGAGACTAGAGGAGGCAGGTGAGGGGTCTGTGTAAACGGAAAAGCCGCGGGTGGCGATGGGTGCTGAGAGACAGGGCAAGCAGGACAGAAGACATCTTTCAGAAGTGAGTGAAGAGGAGGTGGGAGAGGCTGAGGGAAAAAGTGTTGGGAATAGGAATTCTGTCCAAGGGAGGTTCCATTATCTTAGCGACACAGGAGGGCTTGGAGAAGCTGCCTGAGTACCTGCTGGACTTCTGTAGAGTAGGCTTCAGAGCTGAGAGAATCAGAAGGATCCAGAGAGAGGGACACAGAGCAGGCAGCTCCTGGAGGAGAGGAAGAGAGGAGAGACGGCTGGTCAGCCATGGCTGGAGAGCCAGCTCCAAGAGGAGCTGAGACACCAGGTGGGGAGGCGGCCAGGAGTAGAGGAGGGGAGGAAGTGTCCAGGTGACAAGAGTTTTAATTTCGGATGTCCCCAGATGGACCTAAAGATTTGTCAGAGAGATGCCCGGATCAGTGGAGGAGTGTCCTTCCTCCTCATGATGGTCCACACCCAAAAGGGCACAGGGAGGCTTCTGGAAAAACCAGTCCACCACTAACAGTCCTTCTGTCTGTCCACCACTAACAGTCCTTCTGTCTGTCCACCACTAACAGTTCTTCTGTCTGTCCACCACTAACAGTCCTTCTGTCTGTCCACCACTAACAGTCCTTCTGTCTGTCCACCACTAACAGTCCTTCTGTCTGTCCACCACTAACAGTCCTTCTTTCTGTCCACTAACAGTCCTTCTGTCTGCCCATGACCAGTCCTTCTGTCTGTCCACCACTAACAGTCCTTCTGTCTGTCCACTACTAACAGTCCTCTGTCTGTCCACCACTAACAGTCCTTCTGTCTGTCCATGACCAGTCCTTCTGTCTGTCCACTACTAACAGTCCTTCTGTCTGTCCACAACTAACAGTCCTTCTGTCTGTCCACTACCAACAGTCCTTCTGTCTGTCCACTAACAGTCCTTCTGTCTGTCCACCACTAACAGTCCTTCTGTCTGTCCACCACTAACAGTCCTTCTGTCTGTCCACCACTAACAGTCCTTCTGTCTGTCCACTAACAGTCCTTCTGTCTGTCCACCACTAACAGTCCTTCTGTCTGTCCACCACTAACAGTCCTTTTGTCTGTCCACTAACAGTCCTTCTGTCTGTCCACCACTAACAGTCCTTCTGTCTGTCCACTAACAGTCCTTCTGTCTGTCCACTAACAGTCCTTCTGTCTCTCCACCACTAACAGTCCTTCTGTCTGTCCACTAACAGTCCTTCTGTCTGTCCACTAACAGTCCTTCTGTCTACCTGGCCAAAGTCCTGTTTAGGACGCGTCACCAGCACTGCCACTTTGGGGGAAGGAAAGCTTTGGACCTGACAGTATTTACACATTTTGCGCTATCTTTACAACGTTGTAAATTGTGTATTTATTTTAAGTTTAGAAATAAGGATATTGGGCTGGAGAGATGGTTCAGTGGTCAAGAGCATTGCCTGCTCTTCCAAAGGTCCTGAGTTCAATTCCCAGAAACCACATGGTGGCTCACAACCATCTGTAATGAGGCCTCGTGCCCTCTTCTGGCCTTCAGGCAAACACGCAGACAGAATATTGTATACATAATAAATAAATATTAAAAAAAAGAAAGAAGGATATTCCAACACCCAAGTTTGCTGCAGAACGTTAATAATTACTGATTTTTAAAAACGCTGTAGACTTGATCACGGATATTGAGCTACATTTACACCTTGGGAATCTTCCCTCAGTTGTAATGGTCACCTTTTCATGAGTAAATATTATTCAAAAGGTGGAATAAAGACACCAACTCAGTGCTGAGAAGAGATGTCTTTAACACATACTAATATACTGTTAACATAAAAAGGGAGCCACAAGAATGTAAGTTGCAGGAACGCAGTTTTGAAGCAGATGAAAGGCAGGTTTGTGGTAAAGAGTAGAAACAATCCCCAGGCCTGCAGGGTTGGACTCTGCCTTAGACTCCAGGGATCTGTGTGGAGATTTGAGCAAGAGCTATCCTATTGGGAACGTGTCTCAGGGAATTGTCACATTGCCCATTCCGAAGTGCTTGAGAGAAGGCAGGCCTGTGTATCTTTGACCTGGAATAACTCTGTCCACCAGGCTGTCCTTGAACTCTCAGAGATCCGCCTGTCTCTGCCTCCCAGGCATTGGAATTAAAGGCTTACACTACTACACCTTGAACTCACAGAGATCTGTTTGTCTCTGCCTTCTAGGCACTGGGATTAAAGGCACGTGCTACCACACCTTGAAGTCACAGAGGTCAATCTCCCTCTGCCTCCCAAGTGTTGGGATTAAAGGTGTGTACTACCACACCCAACTACTCTCTTTCTTTCATTTTTTTTACTTTAAGAATTTCAACTTTTAGCCTGCATATATTTTTAACACACTGTAAATCATTTAAAAATTTTCTTTGTCTTTGAATCTCTCTTTACTCTATATCTCTCTTTTTCTGACCACATGAGTCTTTAGGTAAATTAACCAAGCAATCTCAGTAGGACTAAATCCGTGGCTTTGCCTGCTAGATGTAGCCCATTCCTTAGCTTTCCAGCCTCATGGTTGTACCCACGTTCAGTGCCACAAGTCTACAGTGTTTCAAGGTCCCTGCCAGCAAGCGAGCTTCAGCAGCCTGTGCTTGCAAACCGCACGAACCGCCTGCGTAAAAGAGTCAGAGTTTGCCCTGGCAGGACAGCCTAGAAAGCCGGCATTTTTAAACGGCGCAGCTTTTTTCCTGCTACGGCTGAAAACTGAAAAGCATGCATTCAGCTTTTCATCAACACCATTTAAATGTTTTGTGGCCGGACCTCTTAAGAGCTGCAGGGTTTTGCAGCTGAAGCTGAGTCAGGAAGCCTCTATTAGATAAGAGCGCTTGCTTGCCTCTAGCAAGCAGAGTAGAACCGAGAAATTGCAGCTACCAAGAAAACATGCTCTTCTCTTTCCCAAGCTTTCTCAGGCTTTCAGTGGATTCAGTTGTCCACACATTGGGTGCCATTCTGTAGTAATAGGAGCAGCGGGGCTGCGTCCCCAGCACCCAGGCCGCCCGGCTAGTTCGGTTAGTTCGGTCGGTCGACAGCTCTCCTCTAGGGGGCAGACACCTCTGAGAGACGCCATGCCCCGCTCCCAGGCAGACACGCGATGAAGCTCAGACCCAGGATGGACGTAGGATAGAATCTTCCCGGTAAGACCAGTGCTCACAGATTATTAGAGATGGGTTGATCGGGATATCAGAATTAGCCAGTAAGGACTAGACCTAAAGGGTCAAGCAGTGTTTAAATGAATACAATTTGTGTATTGTTATTTTGGGGCATAAGCTAGCCAGGCGGCCGGGGTGCTGGGGTCGCAGCCCCGCCGCTCCTATTACTACAGACCTGTTAGTGAGTTTGTTAAGTATTGTAGCAAGTAAAATTGGAAGAGGCAGTGCCTAACCATTACATTGCTTTTCTAACTCAGCACCATTTCTCAAAGGTTTGTATTACATGTAATTACCTGTGTATGTATGTAGAGCATGTACGTACCACAACACACATGTGATGGTCAGAGGATATCGTGTAGGAGTCAGTCCTTTCTACAGTGTGTGTCCCTGGTATTGAACTCAAATTGGTAGGATTGGTAGCAGGCACCTTTACCTGCTTGAGCCATCTTGCTGGTCATCAATATTTTTTATATTGGAGGAAAAATCAATTATGATTAATTTACTTATAGAATTCAATTAAAATATTATAACATAGAATCATACTTTGCAAAGGTAATGTTGTTTAATTTTTGTTTCAGTTTTTCAAGGATGTGTAGGTATATACTTGGCTGGGCTGGAGCTTAGTTATAGATCAGTTTCCTAGCTTGTGTAAAGTCCTAGGTCCGAGCTACCACCCCATACCCAAAAGAGGTAGCAGTGTTTCAAAAAGTCATAAGCATGTCCTTTTCACCTGAAAATAGACATACATGATCTTATATTAAAAGAACTTTAAAATGTAAATACTTATGTTGATGCCATTACATTTAATTTTTCATAAAAGCATGGTATCTACCCTGCTTCTGTGGACTTTATATCATCTTTACTCGAGAGTTAGGTGATACAATAGAAATGCCACTGGGGCAAAATGTCTCCGTTAAGACCACTCCCCTGTGTGAAGGGTAGTTCTCCCTAACTCCTTTATCCTGAATCAAATTCAAGAACGGGGTCAATGGCCACATGGTCATTGTGCTGCCTGGTTTTATTTCAGGAACCGTTGACCTTCAAGGTGGCCATCGATTTTTCTGGAGAGGAATGGGAATGCCTGAACTCTGAACAGCAGACTCTGTATAAGGACGTGATGCTGGAAAACTATCGGAACCTGGTCTTCTTGGGTGAGGCTCACTCTGCGGAGTTTAGAATTCAGCATTGCATTTAGTTTCCCTGCATTGCTGAGTATATCTTGGGAGCCTATGATTTCAGGAGAGAAATGGGGGGAGGTGAAGAAATTGAAATAGATAATATTCATATTTTAAAATCTTTATCCTTTCCATCTCTCTTCAGGTAATATATATCCCAAATTAAAATTAGTGGTAATTATAGCAGCCAAGTGGCATAAACTGTTACAATTTACATCTTAAAGTTCAATTATTCCCCTTTACCTGTGATTGGGTAGTAGACAAAAATGGAGCTAAGAATCTTTAAATTGTAAATGTGTTCCTGTATATCTGTAGGGAAATAACATTTGGAAAATGATGCTATAGAGTAATATTATATATCTTTTATGTATCTTTTTCATACTGAACCTAATTCTAGGCCAGATATGTTAGTAGTTATGAAGAATCAAATAAGTGTCATGTTCTGTTTTCTACTAACCAGGTCTTGCTGTGTCTAAGCCATACCTGGTTACCTGTCTGGAGAAAAGGAAAGAGCCCTGGAATATAAAGAGGCAAAAGACCATGCTCTTGTTCCCAGGTCAGTAGGAGTGACTGAAGCAGAGCCCAAAAATGCGGGATCCAGGATTTGAGGAAGCAGGCCTGAAAGATGTGTTATGAAGTCTGTTCCAGTGGCATTGGCTTTCCAAAGTGCAGCTCTGTTTGTCCTCCCATTGCCACTGAAGGACACTTCCTGCTGTGTTCACCATCCTTTATATCCTCCAACCCTAGTCCTGCAGTGATCTCCTCCACATTCACAGTGCTCCTCCAGCCTAGTCCTCCTGCAGTGATCTCCACATTCACAGTGCTCCTCCAGCCTAGTCCTCCTGCAGTGATCTCCTCCACATTCACAGTGCTCCTCCAACCCTAGTCCTGCAGTGATCTCCTCCACATTCACAGTGCTCCTCCAGCCTAGTCCTCCTGCAGTGATCTCCACATTCACAGTGCTCCTCCAACCCTAGTCCTGCAGTGATCTCCTCCACATTCACAGTGCTCCTCCAGCCTAGTCCTCCTGCAGTGATCTCCACATTCACAGTGCTCCTCCAGCCTAGTCCTCCTGCAGTGTTCTCCACATTCACAGTGCTCCTCCAGCCTAGTCCTCCTGCAGTGATCTCCTCCACATTCACAGTGCTCCTCCAGCCTAGTCTTCCTGCAGTGATCTCCTCCACATTCACAGTGCTCCTCCAGCCTAGTCCTCCTGTAGTGATCTCCTCCACATTCACAGTGCCCCTCCAGCCTAGTCCTCCTGCAGTGGTCTCCATATTCACAGTGGTGGCTGAAATCCTCCCCTTTCCTATGAGGAGCTGTATAATGTGACAGTTATTTCATAATGTTTGGTAGCCTCAGAAAATTTGTCGACTTTTTCAGGACCTCTTGGTCAATATAGTATATTATATTAGTATGCTGAAAAAGTTTTCTATTAACATTGTTTATATATTTGTTTTTTCAATTCTCTCAGAGCTGTTTATTAACATTTTAATGGACTTTCTGTGATTATTTTCTACCAAACACTGACCACTAATGATTTACAGGTATATAAAGACAAAACTGAGAACTCGTTTTCTATAAAGAAACTTTGAATTAAACCTTAGGATTTTATGGTACAATGGTTCTTTTTTCCTTCTTTTTTTTCTGTATTTTCTGTCTTTATAGTAGGTTCCTTTATATTCCTTAATATTAGCAACTTTACCTGTATTTTATTATTAAATGTCTATTATAAATACTGTATATTGCAGGACAGTGTAAGGTGAAATTAAAATAAGACTGAGTTATGTATGTGTCGATTACCAATAAAATTGTGTGGGTTTTTATTTGCCTGGCTAAATAGTGCCCCTATTGCTTATGGCGGGGATGTTTTCTGACTGGGTTGTGCTCCTTGGTCATTTCATCCTGGCTCAGTGAATATTCTTGACAGTTACCTTACTGTATCATCTGTCTTGGCAAATCTGCTTTCATGTCTAAGAGAGACAGTTTGTTTATGGTAGCTTTTGAGAAGTTTCAGTTTCATTTCTTTCTTAGCTTTTTACCATGATCAAAACCACATAAAATTAAATTTATTGTCTGAAAGATTTTCTTATTCTATTTTATACTGTTAAATCCAAATTGTTGCATAACACATCTCTATGAGCTTTTCATTTACAAAAGAAAAATTCAGTATTTATGAAGAAAAAGGAGTGTTTATTTTCTTCCAGAGTCATTGTGTTCAGAATGAGTAAAGCAATGAAGGCCATAGATTTTTCCATTCTGCTGTTTGCTGTTGTGCTAAATTTAGCATGATTTTAGATGTTAGATATGTAAATTGTATTCATCAGAGTCTAATGAGTGAAATAATTTTTTTGTCTTGATTTCTTTCAGGTGTGTTTCCTCATTATAACCCACACTTTTCACCAGAGCAGAACATAAAGTATTCATTCCAGGAACTGATCAATGGAAGCCATAGAAATGGTGATATTGACAATTTGTGCTCCAGAGAAGAAAGGGACCGTCTAGAGGGCCATGCAGTTCCGAAGACGTATTATAATGGGTATAACCCGTGTGTAATAACTGATGGTGGGAGAAGCTTTGCTCCCAGTAGGCAGCAAGAACCTGAAATGGCTCAAGAAAACCCTCAGGCTCTGCCTGTTACTTGTGAACAGCCGTGTGCTTCCGTCAGTAACCATCAGAGTCAGTGTTTGAACTGTACCTCTCCTTTCAAAGATGGTTTGGGACGTACAGAGAGGGGTCTAGCCCATTCTTCAGTTACTGACTTCAGCAGTTTCAAGTGTAGCTTTGGGTTAAGCTTTCATTCAAACCTTTTTGTAGATGGGGAACTTAAAAATGAAGAAAAAAATTCTAAATGTAATCAATTTGAGAACTCCATGATGAAAAATTCCTTAATATATAATCCACAAATAGGTCTTTCATGTGTCAAAACGCAGAATTTCCATAAATACGGCGGGTTCTTTACACATCCAGTATCACCTAATCAAAATTCAAGTACAGATATTTTAGAAATCCAGTATATATGTAAAGAAAATAGGAAGGCCTTTACTGAGGCGTCTGCCTTAAATAATCACCAGGGCGCGTTTATTGGAGAGGCGGTGTATCAGTGCAATGAAGATGGCAGTGACGTAAGCCATGAGGCAGATCCTGCGGATCAGCAGTCTGCTCGTTTCCCAAAGGACTTTTACAAATGCTACAGATGCGACACCGTCTTTCATCAATACTCAGAACTCATCATCCACCAGTATATCCATATTCAAGACCAGATTTCCAAGGGGATGGATTGCAACACAGCTTTCAGTAAAATTTCCAGCCTTCCTAGAAGTCATTCCGGAGAAAAACCCTACAAATGTAAGGAATGCGGCAAAGCCTTTACCTATTGTTCCAGCCTCAGACAGCACCATAGGATTCATTCTGGTGTCAAACATCACAAATGTAAAGAATGTGGCAAAGCTTTCTACCACAAGTCACTGCTTACGCAACACCAGAGCATCCATGCCGGGAAGAAGCCCTACTGCTGTCAATTTTGTGGCAAAGCATTTAATCAGAGATCAACTGTTACTCAGCACCAGAGGATTCATACTGGAGAGAGGCCCTACCATTGTAAAGACTGTGGCAAAGCGTTTCACCAAAGGTCAAGCCTGAGCCTACACCAGAGAGTTCACACTGGAGAGAAGCCCTACAAATGCAAAGAATGCGGCAAAGCCTTCAACCGTAATTCTCTCCTTACTCAGCACCAGAGGATTCATACTGGCGAGAAGCCCTACCGTTGCGAAGATTGTGGTAAAGCTTTTAATAAAAAAATCAAGCCTTACTCAACACCAGAGAATTCATACTGGAGAGAAACCCTATTCTTGTAAAGATTGTGGCAAAGCTTTTAATCAATGATCAAGCCTCAGCCTGCACCAGAGAGGTCACACTGGCGAGAAACCCAATAAATGTAACGAATGTGGCAAAGCCTTTAACCGTGTGTTTTTCCTCACTCAACACCAGAAAATCCATACTGGCGAGAAGGCTTACCACTGTAAGGACTTTGGCAAAGCTTTTAAACAGCGCTCGAGCCTCACCCAGCACCAGAGAGTTCATACCGGGGACAAGCCCTACCACTGTAAGCACTGTGGGAAGGCTTTTACTCAGAGGTCAAGCTTTACTCGGCACCAGAGAATCCACACCGGAGAGAAGCCCTATAAGTGCCAAGATTGTGACAAAGCCTTCAGCCTCAACCTCCTTCCGATCCAACACCAGAGAACTCACACAGGAGAGAAACCGTACCACTGCCAAGACTGTGGCAGAGCGTTTAATCAAAGATCGAGCCTAATGCAGCACCAGAGGGTTCATACTGGGGACAAGCCCTTCTGTTGTAAAGACTGTGGCAAGGCGTTCACCCAGAGGTCAAGCTTTAACCGGCACCAAAGAATCCACAGCGGAGAGAAGCCCTACAAGTGTAAAGCGTGCGAGAGCACCTTCAGCTGCAGCTCGCGCCTCGCTGAGCACCAGTGCGCTTCCTTAGGCCGCTGCTTCCAAGACACAAAGTTCCTCCAATATATGTGAGTTTACTGTTCTGTTACCGCCAGCTCACAGACTGTAGGATTCATTGTTAAACATGTGATGTGTTTTATATAAAAGATACTTCTTTCTATTGTTGCAATACCTTACTGGATTCCCAGAATATCACATTCTGGTTTAACTGAGTAATAGTTTTCTTTCTTGTCATTTTGTCAACTGGTTCTGTGTTAATTGCATTCTCAGATGTATTTCCCATAATGTAAATGTAAAACATATGCTGTTACACAGAGAAACCCTGTCTGGAAAAAAACAAAAAAAATACATTGTCCAATGTATACATAAAACTGTCCACCAGACTTCACACTAGAGTAGTTTTTGGCGGGCGCCATTCAGTCTTCCTGTGACTTACAGTCCCATCTCTAAACTGTGTAGCATGGAGCTTGGCTGTCTCCTCCAGTTGTGTTATCATCTCTTCTACAGCAGTTAAGATGATATTATCCAGTATATAGCTGGTGCATGCTGGATCCACACTTGTATAAAGTAGAATTACACTAGGGAAGGGCTGTTGTGTGACGGCATGCGTGTGAGGGTCAGCGGGTTGCACTCAGTCCTCTATCATTTTGATTTTGGGAATGGAACTCAGCTCAGCTCGTCAGGCTTGTCTGCAAACTCCTTTAACTGAGTCATCTCTTCCGTGGTGGGACTTTAGGGTCTAGGGTTTCTCTGGCTTGACTAGAACCGCCTCTATGGCGCGGATCCCTGCTGTCGTCCACCCTGCCATATGAGAAAGGCAGGCCACCTACAGTTTCAGCACAGGGCTTATCATCCCCCTGCGACTTGAAGACGTGACCATACTTAAAAATGAGGACTTTCAGAAAATGTAGGGGAAGATTTTTATGCTGAGATTTCAAAACCGACCCATAGAGCTAAAGGCCTTTTGGGGTAGTCTTTCGTGTTCTCCAGATCATGTCTAGTTAGGTGTCGCTGCTAGAAGGCTGTGTGTCAGCGTCCTGGTGATGAGTACGGAATCTGTAAGGGCACGGGAATAGTGGCAGCACACTGGATCTGATACATTATCAGGAGGGAGAAGAGCTGAGAGGAGTGAAACTTAGACGCCACCTAGCCCAGAGCTGTTAACAACTTACTCAATTATAGACTGCGAGTGTTGTTTGCCTCGGCCGACGGAGGACCAGTCCTGTCCCACTGTGGAAGGTTTCTACTGGGGCTGTTTCATTCTCTGTGTTGGCCCAGAGTCCAGGGTCACTGCGAACTGTCTCACTGCACCTAGGACCTGCCAGATTTTTAGGGCTTCGGGTTGCACATTGGTTCAGGCTAACAATAGGTCAGAAAGGAGTGAATGATTCAGAATTCCTTCACAGAAGCATTTTTGGTTCTATGGAGGAATCATTCCAGTGTTCTGGTACTCAAAGGAGGAAACCTGTGTCCACCTGCAGGCAAAATATACTCAACAAATAAATTTCTTTCCATAGGTCTTCTTTCCAAGACAACAGCAAGAACAAACACAAAACTGCCATGGCTGAAAACTTCTAGAAAACTTCAGTGTAAAGTAAGTGGACAAATATTTGAACTTATGAGTTGATGAGCATGAAGAAGGGAAGGAATGATTGACAGATTTGAATTTGTTTGGAAAAGATTGATTTATTGTATTATACATTCTGATGCACTTCTACAAGGGCATTTTCTAGAAGGGTTCTTGTTTCTATCTGTGTTGCTTTTTCCTTGTTGTAGGATTTAGATGATAATAGAATTATCTTAGAGAAATTTAAAGAGTTATGTTAACTCGGTTGTTGTTTTATATTATGAAGTGATAAAGTAATTGTAATTTTCTTTCTGTTGCTGTGATAGATAACTATAACCAAAAGCAGCGTGGGGAGGAAATGGTTGGTTTTAGCTTCCTTTTGCATGTAGCAGTCTATCATAGAGAAGTCAGGATGGGAGCTAAAGCAGGAGCAGGGGATGGAACCGTGGAAGAGAAGCTCACTGGCTTGCTCCGCCTGGCTCCTGCTCAGCCAGCTTCTCTAAACATCCCAGGACTATCTGCCCTTGGGTGGCACTGTACACAATAAGCTAGGTTCTCCTACGTCAGTCAGCAATCATAACCATTCCAGACACGGTTAGAGCACTGTGATCTGGGCCGTTCCTCAGCTCCTCGGCCGAGACTCCCACTTTCCACATGACTTTGGTGTGGCAGGTTGAGAATAAGAAGAAACAAGGATGGTACAGTGTAAGGTGGTGATTAGGGAGGGCAACAGAGTAGCTACGGTAGCAATACAGTAACCAGGAGCCTGCATCCTACTTAGGGTTCCACAGAGATGCTCAGAAGAGGCCCGCTCAAGGCGAGACCAACCAGCAGTCTCCCCTCAAAAGAAGAAACAAGAGGTCAGTACATTTGGTGGATACACTGGCCTCAGACTTTCTCAGACCCCAAAGAAGATAAGTCTGTTTGGTGGGATGGCCCCTTGATTTCTCATTAAACCTGTGTCCAGAAATGTTCTCTCAGATACTCTACGTTTTGATTCCTAAAGGTCTGGTGACTGCTCCAAATACAAAATAACAAGCACAAAGGCAGTGAGATTTCCTTTGACTTTAGGAATTCTCCTTTGTCCCAGTTATGGTGTTTAGTCCTTAATTCTCTGCATTAGCAAGAAACGAGTGAAATGGAAACACACAGCTGGTCCTGACGTCTGTATGGCTCACCATGCACGATGAAACAGTACCCAAATTCTAGGTCTTATGTTAAGTGTTGTGAACAATATGAAGTTTCCAGCTCACAGTTTCACAACATGCTGTGAGCACATAATGCCAGGTTAAATAGACATTTTGTGCACGACTGCATCTTATGGATAGGTGCCTACAGCAGATTTTAAGCAGAGTGATTTAAGATTTGCAGTGGTCACTGAGAACTGAGCCTGTGTTCTGAGAACAGATCATGTGCACGAGCCTTGTGCTGTGGTTTTTCTCTACTGTAGCGCTGCACATGGTGGCCGTGAACACCAACAAGGACCCTGCTTACGATGCCAGTTCATGAGTGTCCCCTCGATTTCCTCAAATTCATGGAATTACAATGCCTTAGATTGGGGTCCACGTGTATCTTCCTCCAAATGCAAGGTCACCAGCATAAGCCCACAAGGTAGTGTGTGCGTTTGCTTTGGTGCCAGCGCCATGCTGCTTTTTAAACTTGAGGATTTTATAACTATGTTTTGATTACATTTTTTTTCTTTTTAAAGTCTTTTTTAATGCACTATACATTTTTCTCTGCTCCCTTCTCTTCCTCCCCTCTCCCCTTTTACCGTCTCATGATCCCCACACTCCCAATTTACTCTGGAGAGCTTGTCTTTTCCTCCTTCCTGTGTTTTATGTCTAAAAGCCACCTATGAGTGAGTCCATATTTGTCTTCCTGGGTCTGGGTTACCTCACTCAGTATGGTGTTTTCTAGTTGGTCACGTTCTTACTCCTACTTCTTCCCCAACTGCACACCCCATTGCCTTTAGGAGGATATAGTATAGTTTGAAGTCTGAAATGCTATTTCCAGCATTACCTTTCCTACTCAAGATTGTGTTAGCTATTTGGGGGCATTTTTTATGAGTTTTAGGATTTAAAAATATTTCTATAAAAAATGTCATAAAATTTTTGATTAAAATTGCATTAAGTCTGTCTATCACTCTTGGTGCTATGGATTCGGCCCAGCCATGAGCATGGGAGGTCTTTCCTGTCTTTAGTGTCTTGTGCACTTTTGCTGTAGAGGTGTTTAACATGTTCAGTTAGCTTTGTGCTTGTGTTCATATACATGTGAGCACGGGGAGGCTGGATGTAAACTTCAGGTGTTAGTTCTCAGGTGCTGTCTGCCTTGTCTCCCCGGTGTGGATTCAGCAGGACGAGGCAGGTGTTCAGAAGTGCAGTCTTCTTCCTCGTGCTGAGATGCAGGCACACACTACCACGTGCGTACTTTCTCACATGGGTTCTGGAGACTGAATCCAGATCTTCATGCTCTCACGCCCAGCATTTTACCAACTGTGCTCTCTCCCCCATACCGGGTACGTTTCTGAAGATATCATGGGTGGAGTTTTTCTGATTTCTAGTTCATGAAGTTTGCTGATTTTGATTCTTGCTTCTTTGCTAAAACTACCAGATGTAAGAAGCTTCTGGGTCTTTTGGGTGTATTAAGTATAGTATATGTCCTACAAATCAGTTACTTAAGTTCCTTCTGTTAGATCCCTTTCATTTCCCTTCATGCTGTAACTAGGATTTCAAAAAATTGCTTTGGTCAAGCGTGGCTAGAGTGGACGTGTGTCTCCTTCCTGATTTTAAACGAGGCGCTTTCGGGTTTTCCCCATTCGGTGTGATACTGGCAACAGTTTTCAGGTGTTGAAGTATGTATGATCTTACTAGTTTCTTCAGGAGTGTTGAATGTTGTCAAAGGTCATTTCCAGTATTGCTTGGAATGATGATATGAGCTTTGTCCACATTTCTGTGTGCTATCAGTACTTACTGATTCGTGTATACGGAACCAGTTTTCATTCCTAGTGTGAAACCAAGTAGTCGGCATATGATCTTTTGCTGTGTTCTTGCATTGAGTTTGCAAGCATTTTGTTGGGGATTTTTGCATCTAGATTTGCCATGAAGTTCCTTTTTTCCCTCCCTATTAGTTTTTTTCTTAGCAGAGGACTGAGTTTGGAAGTACTCTCATTTTTATTTTCACAGACTATTTTGAGGAACATTGGTATTCAGGTTCTTCAGATGTCTGGTGGGATGCAGCAGTGAAGCCATCTTCGTCCTGGTTTCTTCATGGGCAGCTGCTACGTCTTCCATTACGTTGTCCATGATAGATTTCTTTAGTTTCTTAGACCCTTGCAATGACTGTGTGTCTAAAAGAACAGTCCATATTTTTCAATCTATGGAAACATTTTTTAAGCAGAGAGTTTGTTGTTTATTGCTTTATAAATAATACCATTCAAAATTTCCACTTCTTCCCCTCCTCCCATTTCCCTCCTGCTTCCTCCCCTTCCCCCCCCATCCCCCCATCC